CTAATGAGAGATGTACTACAAAAAATATATAATGTGTTAATGACTCCAGGTTGTACCTAATCGAGAGAAAAAGAAAGAAAAGTAAAAGAGACGTTGTACATCGTTATTCAGTTATTCCACTATAAGTAATATTGGTTTCGTGAGAAATTTTGACTAATATAATGTTCAACAATGATAGAAGTTGGATTACAATACTATCAGCATAGACAAATTAATAGCTTCAGCACTAAAGCGAGTGAAATCTGCATCTGATAGTCAAATCAGTTTTTTTTTATATGGAAAACCCTGGCCTGTCTTATCCATTCTATCCTTGATCTCATTTTTCACTTTCATGTGAGAAAAAAGTTCTAAATCGACGTTTGAAGTGTGCTCTTTCATGAAGTCATAATCGAGCTGTAAGATGGGGCAGAAAATGTTTTCGACATTTATGTAGTTTTCCTCTAATTGCCATAGAGTTAAGGCAATCTACCTCTTCGAGAGGTACCAACTCCTTCAAATCATAAAATAACACCTCGTCGCTAAAGTATTTCTATTAGATTTGTTTTGAATCATACGTTTATATTTTTGTTGTGTTCCTATGCTAGTCATTTTATCCAAACGAACCGATTCCTACTTTCTATGAGATATCAGTTTGAACCTAGTTCTGAGCATGACCCCATGAAAAAAAGAGGGGATCCAAAATAGCATACTCTGTAACAATCTTGCTTAAAGTTTACCAAGTTGACTATCAAACTTTCAAATATGGATGACAAGGGTAGTCCAATTTAAGAATATCCATAATATTAAAGGTAGGAAGTAATTTCAGAATAATTTACTGGAATTCTTAATGACTCTAACGACTGATTGACACAAGTAAACAACAGCACTGTACGTAATTCAGAATTAATTAATTAGCATAAAAAATCGAATATGTTAATTTCAACTGTAGAGACGGTTGTGAAAAATAGAATAAACTAGCAAGCTCACGCCCACATGCTGCTCCGAATTTCAACGAAAAGGGAAAACATAGTTAAGGATCTTAGTTCATGTTAATTTTTCTCGGAGAAATCTATGGCGGTATGCGTTTCCTCTTAATTCCGAACGTTGTCATGGTAGATATGTTAGTCAGCTAAATATGCTTCACTCATTCATAAAGACATCTCAATGAGAATATTGATTAACTGCTTCAAGAAAAAATGACCGAATAAAAAGGTACCACTTATTTTCATCTCAATCAAAAGGCACCATTTATTTTACTTCATCTTGGAGACAATGATAACAAGGAGATTAGGGACTCTTAGTAAGGCCGCTGGCCGAAGATGTTGCCGCGGGGACTATAGTTGGATGTGATAAAGATGGCCCCGCTGTTGCACTTAACGCGAGCACAGCCGAGGTTCACAGAATTGCGCCAAACCACCTGCGTGTAGTGCCCGCATACCTTCCCCGTCGCGCAGGTATTGGTGGTATTATTGTAGAACTGCTTCTCGTCGACCCAGAGTTGGACTGCCTCGCGAGCTGTCCATTCTTTTCCGCTCTCCCAGAAGAGGTTCTACCCATATTGTCCATTGGAATGCACAAGTTTGCAGTCGCCCTTCCTTTGGTTGGCATAATTCTGCGCGTAGGCAGCCACGGTGGCATTCCACACCATTTTGCCGACCCCGACCGCCGCACGGGCTGTGTTGTGGACATCCAGGTAGTCCTGTGGAGTGTTTTGGGCTTGGACGGAGCCAACGATCCCCAGCACCAACACGCAAGCCAATACTGCGACGGAAAGCTGGTATGCCGCCATTGCCTCCCCTCCGTTCCCAAACACCTTTCTGCTTTCCTTACACGAGAAATCCCGGATAGAATGGTATGGAATGTGTCTACTCGTGTATTTATTGGCGAACCGCTATCTCATACGCGCGAAACGTAAAAGACCTCGGTTCGGACGGAGGATATCTGCGGTTTCGTTCCGGCAGTCGTTTCAGCTCTATAAAAGAATTGAGAAAAACATGAAATACAAATCCAAAAGAGATTTTGTTCGAGATGTAGTGTATGTAACGACCTGTAAGGCGACCAACAGCACTGCCGACAACCAATTAACGTATTCCAATGAGTAGCCATCAATTTGACCATTGATTTTCTACATTCCAGCCATGATTCATTGCATTGCCCTCCTCTTAAAAAAAATTGAATGCAAATGGAGCAACTAGGAAATAGGAAAAAAAAAAGTGTTAATAAATTACGAATCTGATGGATAACTAGGAAATGATGGCAAAGAAGGGTGCTATGAGTCATTGCCCTTCTCTATCATGGATGAAGACAGCGCGGAAAACATCTAGCGGATAATGTTCCTTTCTGAAATGTTGTGCTTTCTCAAGATATTCTCAACAAGGACAAGGTCTGACTCCGTCAAATGGACAAAGTACTTAGCATCGCTTTAATTAGAAGGAAATCTTATTCAAACTGATGATCTTTAATTAGGTTGTTGGTCGATAGGACTACAGTAGATTTTCGATCATTGTAGTGAAAATTATCACAATGATAAATGAGATATTGTCTTAATCGATGACATCTGACAAGGGAATCTTTTGTGCTGCCTCTGAAAACTATGATAATATTTGTCGGAGGAAATAGAGACTTAAAATTATAACTTTTCTCCTAACATAGTTCAAAGTTTGTTGAAACCTCAACATTTAGCCTACAGGCTCAGGGAGGCCGGTATACTCAGTGATGGCCTATTCAAATTGTTGGTTCAATGTATTTCTGAGTAACCGTGGGCTTATAGGTTCAGTCCTTGTAGAGTGGAGTAAGTTAGATTTACTAAACAACTATAAATTGTAGAATATGAATCTTGACTGGTTTTGTAGTTAAAACTCAAGTCTTTGTTTTATGTTTTTTTGTATGACCTTTTGAGCAAATAACGATTTTGTAGAGAACCTTCATTACATAATTATATATCCTACATTAAGTATATTATACTAGTTTGAAAAATATAATTAGGTTTTGACAACATTGTTTTTCAGTAATATTTATTTTGTATATAATCTATGATTTAATTTTATCAGCATGGTAGTTTGAGACGAAGTTTATAAAATACTATATTCAAAAGATAACTGACCATGGTCCAAGGCTCAACAAATTCTCTTTGCTTGTTTCATGATGTCATAATCTTGTACACTACTTTTCATACAATCTACATAATCTCCCAGCCTTTTATTCACAGACATTTGATGTTGGTATTGAATCAGGTCAACTCTAATTGTGATCCTACAAGAACTTCTCTGTGATCACCCACATTAAACTAGAATATCTAAAAATTTTAAAAGTTGATCGCTTATATAAATAAGATGATGAACATGTGATTTAGATATGGTCAAGACATCAGACATATCTGAGGCTACCATAGGTAATGATGTCTCTTTACAAGCATTAAAGAAATAGAAATAATTAAAAGTACTAGTTGTTAGGAGTGGAATAAACAATTGGATTCTCATGTTTAATAAACCTTTGGTTTATCATAATACTAGGTGATCAGCACATTCATGAGGAAGGCTCAAACAATGGTCTGCCGCTGTCCATCTTATTGAGTTTTTGTAATCTCTCTCTCTCTCTCTCTCATCGTTTCTTGTTCCCCCGTTGCCCATCTCACCTTTAGGTTAATTTCACCACACTTCATCAGATGCACTCCACTACCGATTTATCTTGAGCAGGGTATCTGTACTCGGGAGTAACCGTTGCTTTACTCTGAGCCATGGCAGATGAATTGAAAGAAAATATACATGTGCTAAATGACATGAACCTCAACTTGCGCAGACTGCGTATAGAAATTTTCATTGGTGTAGCATGGAGATTATAAATAATCTGTCAAAATATAGGTATTAACCACTAAAACGAATACAGTTAGAACTAGGGAAGATGATGGATTGATGATTCTTAACCAAAACGATTTCTCAAAGATTTTCTTAACCCTGATTAATCAAGGAGGATTCAACGTCAAGAGAAAGGAAACTACAATGAAGATGTTGTGGAAATTGACAAAACTACATGAAACGCCCTCAACATCGAATAGAGTTTCCCTTTTGAAAAAACTATTAAAGATGAGAATGTGTCTCTAGTAAGGCATCGCTCATCTGAATGAATTCTAAAATGTTGTGAACACAGTCTGAATCATTAAGAAAAAAGTTGATAATTGAATTAATTCTATGAAATTCATGTGGTCATTATCTGATCTGAATAAGCTAGTCTTATCCATCAGTAATCCTACTGGAATAAACCTGAAATTTGATAATGTAATCGGTTGTGCTATAAATGATGAAATGGTGATTGGAGGTAAATGAGGGGGAATGGGACAGGGAAGCAACGAGAAAGTGGAGAAAATGCAAATAGATAAAATTCCAATTAAATATCTAGTCCAGAATCGAAAGACTAAAAAATTAGGTTTGCTAGAATTTTAAGTATGCCGGAAAGAGGGATTTTTTTAAATGACCCAGGAAAGGAAGTGATGGGGCAAATGTTTTGATAACAGATGATGAGGCATTGTTGTGGTAACCTATGTTTGTTCACTTCTCCATATTTCTGTGAGACATTTTTTGCGAACTTGAGAATTTCTTCTCTATATCGAGTGAGCAGAAGAAATTATTGAGTGATAATTTCTACACTTGAAGAATATTGTGATAACTTCCTGAATGATCATGTTAAAAGGGCGATATGATTAATGATTAAAGCCTAAATAATATAGGAATATGATAACTATTTATTAAACACTTACACATTTTCACACTCTAGTTCATGAATTATATTATTTTCCTATTTTCTATCGGAACGGGAGCATCAAGATAGATGACAAAGGGGAAATAAATTTATTATTATTATGTGAGAGTGTGAGAGGAATTTATATCCATGATGTACAGCCAAGGGAACATAGTTTTCCTCTAATCCTCCAAGTTCATTATGGGTACTTATACAATAGGTGAACAGAAAAAGGTAACATTGTAAAGAAGACTTACTTGTAAATCTTACAGGATGTAGGGGTAAAACTAAAAGGCCCAATATGGGGCATACGATCCCAAAAGAAGGGAGCTGCCACCAGCCCTTTCCTCATTCACGATCAGCTCTCTCTCCTTTCTCTCTTGGTGCATCCCTCTCCTACGGTGGGGACGGCCTGCTCCTCTCTCCTTTGGTGCCACCTGCAGCACACCATAGGTGGGCCAGCTCATCCCTTCCCCCCCCCTTCCCCCCCCCTTCCCCCCCTTCCAGTGGTGACAGAGCTGGCAATGATCGTGGGTCTCCTCCCTTGGCGCATCAAGAAGAGGATCAACTGAAGACATTCCTGTGTGAGGCCGCCGTTCTCTCCCCTCGTCTGTCTGAACAAGAGGGAGAAACTATTTTTATTTTATTCATTTGACTTTTATGTAATTGAACCTCTTTTATCCTAGTCAATGCAATCTAAATTTTGTGAAATCTATTCCCCTTTGCCTCATCAATTTTGAATAGTCAAAATTGTTGAAGAAAGTGGAGAATCATCCCCATCAGCCATCCGTAATTTATTTACGAGGTGATTGGTTGAATCTTGAGAGAAATCTTCCTCTCAACATGCATTGAATTTCTATTCATGGCTGCTAAATTTCAAAGAATAAAAAAACAGAATATGATTATTAATTAATATACATCAACTAATTCAAATCTCTCTGTGTTCGACTTAGTTTTTTACTAATTCATCAAGACATTATTCTTATGAAAATCAATTTATAAATTTAAAATTGATGATCTTAATAATAACGACTTAAGAGCTTTCAAGACATCATTATGTATAATAAGTGCTCTTTGTTATTATTAGAAACTATGTTTTAAGTGAGAGAGCGATAGTGAGTTTATAGAAACAAATAAAAAACAAGGCTAAAAGGTATTTCTCATTGATAAATGAGGGTCTATCCTTCTGAAGTCTTTATGTGGTATTTCTAACTCTTTCACTTGTTACTATTCCAGGTACTAAAACCTAAGCTTCTGCCATCAAACAAAGGTCTGATGTGCTTCTTACTTTAATGATTTTAGATACTTTGGTGCAAGAAGAAGCACCTCAAAGATAACAAGGTTTCATGTTTATTGCACAAACCCTTCTCTCCTTTTGTGAGACTTATATTTCCCAGATGTAAGGTTGTAGAAAATGTGTCTACTCTCTGTATAATATTCATGACTGTTTCCTTCGATATCCAACAAAATGTAAACTCACATCATTGAAGAATTTGGGATTGGAAGAGGTGCATATAGTCTATTGTTTTAAACTTCTTGGCTACATGAGATTTGTTAATGATTGCTATTATATTTCATATCTTTCATTGTCACTGTCCACTATTATTGTCTTAATGAGGATGACCAGTGTATTTTTTGTATAACCGATATCGCAACGCCAGTAGAAATTTGTAATGAACATCATGTATCTGAAGTGTCGATTCTCTTCCACTCTTCTTTTCATACAAAAAGAGTACTCGGGTCAATAAAATGGTCAAAAAAACATTATCTTTTGACGGATTATCTTTTCTAATATAATTCTTTAGAACCATTATGCATCGAATAAGTTATTTATGTTAAATCCGCGCTGACATGGTAGCAACTTGTATACGAGAGCTTCAATTCAGCAGAACTATTTTTAATTTGGTAAAGTAAAAACCGATAAATGCTCTTCAAGAAAGGGTATATGGGGGCAAACAAGAGTAAGAGGACGGAAGAGATATAGGGCGAGGGTTCTAGTTCAGAGGGTATGTGCAAAACAACGTTGGTTGCACTTTTTCTCTAAATTCATTAAAACAATCTCAACTAAAAGGATTTCAACCAGTTCAGCTGTTCGGGACGTACATTTAAATTAGTAAAATAGTAAGACTCCCTTCATTTCGACTTAGAGGAAGAGACATACATGAGCCAGATTGAGGGGTTTCTCGGCAAGGGAAACGAGGAAATGGTTTCCTATGTCAGGACAAGCTAGTATGGTTTGAAGCAAGTTACTGGGTGGCGGCAATTCAGATTTGCTCAGTTTTAGTGCGATTTTAAATATATCAGATATCAAATGGAGATAGATGTTAAATTTGAGCAATTTGATAATTAGATCGTGTTAACCTTTGTTGCAGGTTACATGCTTGTGATACGTACAAGAATAGAGAGAATCAATCACCTAATGAAAACATTTCAGGTACTATCTCCTTGAGTGATTCGGTTTAGTTGAGACAACTTGGCATGCAGCTAACTAGGGGAAGAAAGTTGAAGTTACGGTTACCACATACAACATCGAGAAAGCATCGCAAGGATTCAACATGGACAATCAAAGTCGATAACAACTCAGTTCAAGGTTTTAATGAGTTGTTCTCAATAAGAGAGAAAGGTAGCCTATAACAGTAACCAACCCTTTCGTTGTGCAAAGTCTTATAATTACGTTGGTCACCGGTGTATAAAACTGGAAGCGAGCTTTGACTTTTGCATTCAGATAAGCGAACCCAAACAAGGGTGCACTCGCCTCTTGTGTGTATTCGGCGAGTGGCCGCAGACTAATTGCTGGCTCCGTCTGTCCTCCGGTCTCACGGCATCGCTCCTCACCGCAAATTAACTCCTATCGTGTACAAATCCTGGGCTTATAAAGAGACGTAAATGGATCTACGCAGGAAGTATCAGGACAATGAGGGTTTATTGCAGTTTCTTTCCGCAAGAATCATCTTACAATTTTGCTCTAAGCGGGAGGACTAGCCATGGTGTTGGAAATAATAGCCTCTTAAATTGGCGGTACTACTACGGTGAGATTGATCACGATCATTCTAGCATTTTAGGTGTATAAGCTGTGACGTCAGTCGTCATTGTCAAACACAATAAACAGTTATTCTTGTGACGTTGGACGAATTCGTTTCTTCTTTTTATCAATATTCCCATATACAATGCAAGAAGTTTGGGGAAAAGAATAATAGCCAACTTTGTAGAGCCATTTGGTTTCAGAAATGTACTATTTAATGGACTACACAAACTCTTATTGTTTAAGGCTAATCATAAGGCTAATCTTTAACTGTTTGGTGCAAGTAGATGCTACTGAAAGCATCATATATATTAAAGTATGGAAAGAAGGTCCAGAATAGTCATATTCATTATATTAGGTACATGACTTTTATAGCGTCCTCAGTATACATTTGATCCTGAAATATTACTATTGGATAATCATCAAATTCATTTTGCATAGTAATCATCATTGATTGCATTTTAGTCGTTGATTTAAAACATGTCAAATTTAATAACTATACTGAACGTAGAAAGTAGAAATTAGTTTTAAAATTCCAGTGAGTTGAAGTCGATTCTTAGAGATGAATGTCAAACCTAATATCAAATTCTATTCTCAAATACTTATTAAATCAAAATGAAAAATTAAAATAAAGAGAAATGAATTTAGTTCCTTATGTCAAGTGTGTCACCCACTTGTCATATAACTTAGAAACAGACAAAAATGAAATGAAAACCTAAAGGGTGTAAGACATCATCTACTGAATGGATTAATAAAATAACAAAGGTGCAGAAATTAACTCTCTTCAGATTCCTATGTCACTCATAAACACGAAGAGGGGTTATGCAGTAAATTAGAGCTGTAAAGAAAAATGATAATGGTTGAAATAAAATACCCTTTTGATCCTTGTGTCGCTTAAAGACTAAAGAAGAAGAACAATTACAAAATTAAATCATTGAAAAGGAAACGGAAAAAAATAGTAAAACAAAATCCTAATTTCCACCATTCTCGTCCTTCTCCATCTGTAACACGAGAGATTTGAGATGGGGGAAAGATGTTCAGGTCATCACTGTCTCCATTCCTGCCAGGGTAGCCACCGCCGTCATGCTCAGCTCCTCCACCTGTAACACGAGAGGAGCTTACCGCTGTTGTTGCTGATGCCGTAATGAGCACTGCTAGTGTCACCATAGCCGCTCTCACCGTCACCGCTACCTTGCTCAACTCCACCTGTCACTCAGAAGGAGAGCTTGATGCTACTGTCATCGCTGTCTGCTGCTGCAGCTGCACTATTGCTGCTGTCGTCGCCGCATCGGAGCCACCATTCCTACCGTCTCGCCTGTCACGTGGAGAGGGGCTGGCTGGTCCTTCAACGCCCTAGCTATCGGGGCCCCCTTCTCTCTTCTCTCTTCTCTTAACCCCCCCATCCCGCCCATCATAATGGGTGAGTATTGGGCTTGCTATTGCACCTGATAAAAGCCGCCCACTATCAAGCACAATATTCCTCTAAACATTCTAATAAATCCACGAAAATTATAATTTCCTTTCTTCTGATTTTTCTGTTCTTCTCTTGCCAGTTAAAATATTTCTCAAGGTAATAGATATGTTTGTATAAATTAAGTCATCAAAATGGTCATTTTTCACAACTAATACATGAATTGAAGAATAAATTCATAGCATGCATGATAAACTCTATTTTTGTGTTTTCATTCAATTCAATTACATTTGGTATTAAGTAAAGTAATACTTCTCCACATTTGACCTTGATTATCACACAAAAATGATGCATTAACAATCACCATTGTCAAATTGTTGACACGACTTTTATACAAAGCCCTTAATCCTAAAGGTGACAAGCACATTAGAGTTTTCTTTTATGGTGAAACTTCAACATTCCTATTTGCATCATCAATACATGATACAGTAACAATTATTCTACGTACGAAATAAACAACTCCATAAAATTAGCATCGTTCTTAGCTGTTTGTATCAATTTGTTCCAACCAAGTCCACAGCCTAATAGAATAATTAGGATGGCTTATAGTCTGGTTGGAGTCCGACACTCACAAACTGAATAACTTTTCGAAAGGAACACTGCTATAAAAAATTGCCAAGATCACTAAGGAACATAAAATAATAAATTCAAATAGAATGTGATTGGAAAACAATCAGGAGAATAGGTCTGCAAGATCTAAGATGCAGCAAATACAGCCCGCAGTCAACCTTCTATATGCTGTATATCCAGCTCGAATATACTTGCATCTTGCTATTCTGTAACCTCCAAGAACAGCCACCCTGGTCTCTATTTCTCTCCTGTGTGTCTGCTGTGAATACCCTCACTTCACAGGTTGCAGCCTACTTCACAAGGACGATAGAACGTAAAAAGTAAAGCAAGACAACAAACAAGCAGGAGAGAGAGGGAGAGATCTCTGCACCACGACGATATGGAAGAGAAAAAGAACCTTGAATCCCAAGGATTTTTGTAATCAGTTTGTGCTCACCGAAAACAGAGTATGTAACAGGTTTTTAACCCTCTTTCAACCCATGAGAGAGTAACACTTTTGTCCTTCTATATGGGAC